CCGGAGGTATATTCAAGTTAGGGACTTTGAACTTCAATTCAATTTCAGTGCGGGGATCAAGAATACCAAGTTTCTCCTTCAACCTTAACATAAGTTTGGCTACGGTAATACTTCTTGGCACCAGAATGGAAGTAGTTTTGTCCCCTCTCGACTTCCATTCGTCATCCGCATGAACAAAATTTCCCCCATGCGACACGACGAATCTCAAATGATTATTCATACCTGAAATGTTGGGATTGCAATGGTAACAATTCGGAATCAATATGTTGGCATTTAATAGCATGAAACTCACACTTCATAATACGTAAATCAGTACAATAACAAAAGTTCAAATCAAGGGTTTGTATCGTTTTGAAGTATCCAAATTGAAAGTAATATTCTATAACTCGGCAGTTTCGAAATGTCAGGTTCGACATCTCAAACGTCTAACCCGACGATTTGTAAATGTCGGACTCGACAGTTTAACTGTCGAGAATGTCGGGAAGCAGACGGCAGTGAATTTCTGAGGTTTCTTCAACACATCATATTAAGTGTGGTCATTATTATTCACCTACCAAATGACATAATGAAAATGGCATATTGGCCTTGTCATTAAAGAGACTTTAATGGTGGTAATGGAAGAAATTACTCAATGGTGATAATGGCATTTTATTAAGGATTCAAAAAAAATCAAACAAATGAATGCATAATACTTTCAAAGTAATTTCAAATAAATATGCCCATGTTGTATTTAAAATGTACAAATACAAAGTTATAAAAGTAATATAAATTAATTTGTAATTACTAACCTCTCAAAGTGGATGTAGAATGCAACACAAATGTCTTCTTGATCAATGAAAATGAAGAAGATGGAAAAGAGGTAGGGTTTCTTGTTTTTATTTCGTTTTCTAATTTATTTGGTAATTTTTTATTAACAAAATTAATCAATAAAATACACATTTATCTCAATAAAAAATACATTTCTCCATGTTTTCTATATAGAAATTAAATGATCACATCAAGTCAATGCTTTTCCTTCAAATCAAGCATTTAATGCTACTAGAAATGTATCATTAAGGGTAATTTGAACTTTGCACCCCAAAAATGTGACATTTTTGCTCACAAAAAGTGAAAATGACATTTTTTTTTTAACTTTCATTTCTGGTGACAATTTTGTACATTCCCCTTAATTAAAATCGAATCAAACCTCAAATTATGGTTTGGTTCGAAAAATAAAATGGTTTGATTTTGTTGAAAAAATTTCAAATCACATAAAATTATTTGAATTGAAAATATAGCATAAACTGCTAAAATCGAACCGTATTCACCCCAACACTAAATAGAAGTTAAATTTTTGGTAGATTTTAATAAAAGTTAATGAAATAAGTATATAAAAGTTGATAAAAATTGTAAATTTTTTTCAATAATATATTTGGGGAAGACCTTCCATCCCTTGGATAGATAACGAGGGAGGACAAAGCTATTGATTTTTGCTTTTTATTTTTTTATGTTGTCAAAGAGTTAGTTATTGAATTTGAGGTTATGAACTCTGCTGGTGCACATAACATAAATGATAACGTCAACAACAGTTTATTATGTACATTGTCTAATTGATCCAACAAATGACTCGCTTGTTTAGTACTATAACTATTTCTTATGGGAAGATCAATACTATCAACAGCTTCAAAATTCCTTGTCATATAAGTAGCGGCTACACAAGTGGTGTAACGATTGAAAGTTATGCATGAACGCAATGCTCATAACTTCCCTCTAGACCTAGTTTCTATCGAAACTCTATCTACAAATGGATAAGACCCGATCTCATTGTATACGAGGTCTTGAAAAAAAAAATAGAAAAAGAAAATAAAGGAGCAATAATATAAGAAATAGGATGTGGAATGAATTGCGAACTAAAGTAAAGGTTAAAATGTAAATTTAGTCCCCAACTTTTGGATGAAGTTGCAATCCCATCTCCAATAATTTTTGCACCCAAGCTTTGAGAAATTGGCAATTCAGTCCCATTCGATGATTCCTATTAATTTTTCTTTTAATTCAAGCACGTGCACTGCATGCGCCATTTATTAAGCAAAGTTATGACAAAAATAGCAGCAAACTTAAGCTAGCCACTTCAAGCATAATTAGCGCGTTTTATGAATTGCAGAGATTTCTAGTTCACATGGCATTGATATTTAATAAATGATCGATTAAGTTAAATTTCATCTTCGGTGGATTTTGTCTATCACTTCAATTTATTTAATATAAAAGAAAAAAAATAAGAAATAAGAGAGAGAAATAGAAATAGAAAAAGTTTAAATTTTGTTACCTCACTCCTACTAATAAATGCTTTATATTTATGCGAACCTCTTCAAAATGTCAATTTTATTCTTGTCAACTACACAGAGTCACACTTACGAATGCTTTCTAGACGTGCTCATAGTCTTGAGGTGAGCCAATTTTTTGAACCAAATAGTTGTCTACAAAGTGGACAGACGAGAGAATAGAAAAAGGCCTCAATATTGACCAATACATTAGTCTTGGTCGCCTCTCCATTCAACACGACTACAGAAAAGAATTGACAAAGAACATTGGTCCACGAAGTTGAATTGTCCAGGGCCAAAAATGGCCCACTTGCCTGCGAGCTAAGTGTATTGGTACCAAACAATTGTCCATACCAAAAATCTAAAAATAAAAAGAAAGTTGCAATAGTAAGTCTCGATGGTATTGACTCATAATTTCGTCGACAAAGTGGACGAAAGAAAAAATAAAATTGGCATGGTAAATCTGGTTTCGGCTCAGAATTTCTTCCACAAAGTGCGCAAAAGAATTAGGGTGAGAAGACCCTATTGGTTTGACCCTGTCGGCCATTTTATACTTGAGATGTACGAATTTTTTGGTCTAAAAATGATAAATTTGTGGACGTGAGCATGACGACTCTCCTCGAGACGCTCATTTATAAGTGGAGATGATAAGCAAAGAACGGGAGAACAAAGGTTAAAGAATCATTTTCCATATGTTACAGATCAAGATAATTCCCATAATATATATATTTAAAAATATATAAATTTGGTAATTTGGCCAAAACTTGAACTCCATGCCAAAGAAACTGAGTAGGGATGCCAAGTATTTTGTCATAACTATTTTGTTCATTCAAGATATCTTCCCTAAATTTATCTTATATGCAACCTTTGCTCTTGATGGAAAAAATATTTTGAAAATGCTTTGATGCCCATGTTTCAACAAAATGCATTTTTTCTTTAATCTCGTTGCACCCATATGTTTGGTATTTGGAATGATTCGAATTTGACATTTGGAACATGTCAATTGTCGAGCAAAGTTAAGTTTTTATGGTAATTGAAATAACTCTTACACATGGGAATAGCGTTAGAATAGACTAAAATACAATGATATTTTTTTTATTTGTATATCTTTTTTTATAATAAAACGTACCAAACGATTCGTCACTATCTTGGGCAATAATATATGGACCGGACATGAAATGTTGGCCAACGAAAGGCTTATTATTTATTTTCAGAAAATATAATCTTGGCAGCCTCACCAAGAAAAGAACGCCTCACAACCTTGGTTCCTGCATTATCATAAATTCTGTGGCCATTTGCTTTACATGTTTTATTGGACGTTATCACATCCCTTTCAATGAGAGATAAATAAGTGATACTACTTGTGTATCCATTAAATATGTGATTAAAAATAAAATTTTATAATTTACAAACGATTTATAAATTTTACCAAACAATGTTTAGCGTTGAAATACAGTTCAGTACTCGTTCATGTTATAAAGAGAATAAATTTATTTTATTTAAATTATATTTTTAACATATTGACTGTGAGTCAAAATTTTTTTTTTTTTATCAAATATTTGATGCATAAATAAATTTTATAAATAGGTAACATAGAGGGAATACTGCTTTCTTTTTTCTTTTTTCCTTTTTTTTTTTTTTTAAATTATCAATTCAACAATACCTCTGCATAGTTTTTTTTTTTTTTTTTTCTAAAGAATAGCATAATGTGTAGCTGAAAGCTTTTTGATTAATTAATTACTATATTTAGTTCGTGTTTTATGGAATAAAACCTAAAGTTGGCGGTTGTATTTCCTTAAAAACCCAAGTCAAATTCTAAGGAATATCTCTAATTTCTGTTACAATTACATTTCTGAATTCCATGCCTACGCGTCTGGATTTTTAGTCGTACAATTAATTAGCATACTAGTTGATTTTATTTTATTTATTTATTATTATTATTTCTTTTATGACGGGAACCCGCAATCGCTACCTTTCGGGTTCGCATTGAATAAACTTTCGGGCTGACGCAATAGCCTGCAAACCACGCCAACCAAATAAATCGCACTAAAGAAGCCCTGTGTGATTGGCTCGACCGAGAAAGTATTGGTAGGAGAAATCAAATTCGTGACTAAAAGCCTCCACGCTCACCTACTCCATCAACTCGACCACCCCATGAGGAACTATTCTAGTTAATTCTTATTTGGTGTTCTAGAAGACTGACTTACAATGTAAGGTACTCATAAGACTGACTTACAATGTAAGGTACTCATTACCTTCTACATAAACTAGAGAAACAAGCACAACCAGTCGCCAATAAACTAATTTAGCCTATGTTTGACTATTATTTTTAGGTTTTTATATTTACATTGGTCAAAAAACTTTCAATCAAACCACTTTTCATTTACACATTTCGTGGGATGGTAAGTACAATTCATTTCTTCACCATTCATTTATTCTTTTTTTTATAAATATCCAATTTTATAAAAACATTGTCGACATTCTCTTAATATCATAGTAAAATTTATCCTTACTTCATACATTATGGAACGTGCTAACAATTACAAATAAGTTCCTTTTAAATTTCCGAAGGCTCAATCCGTTCATTATTACATACAAATTTTTCTATTACTTAAAACAATTTTTATCATATATTTTGTTAAGATTTAAACCATCAATTATTTAAATTGAGATTTAATCAATGATTATAGATAGTATATAAAATAATTAGACGATTACTATTCATAATTATACTATAACTCTATATTTATAATTGATTATGATAGCCATCAGTATCATAATTATATTATACCGTATTACATAAGACAGGCTGGGTGGAATCGTAAAAAATACTTTACTTATTATCCAACCATACATCACTTTGAGACAATTATAGATGTTGATGTTCGACTTTCTGTGAACGTGCATAGAAATTAATTATGCGAGCTTTATAGAATTTATTTTAGAATCGTATTGAGTCATTAATAGTTGTCCGAAAAAAGGACTAATACAACTTCAAGACCATGTTCGACGTGACTCTCTTGAGACTAGTTTTCCTGAGCTCTATTATTTTATCTTGTTTTATTGTTTAATAATTCATATTTATCATTTTATTGCTAATTCATTGTGCTGTCAAATGTAAAATCAAAATCATAAACTTAAGGTAATTAGTAATTACAATCAATTAATAATATTCAATTTTAATTAAGTAGAAACTTATTTAGAATTTACAATCAATCGATTTATTTTTTTAAAATCACATCACCCCAAGAAGTGAATTCTTATAGAGGGATAGTCCTATAGATAAATCACAGAGTCTGTTTAGTGTGGATGTTACAGTTCCCAAACTAAATACCTATTTTTTTATTTAACAACGTCATTTGTTTCATTCTCACGTCTACAGAGAATAGCCATTAATGGTAAAGGGTGGTGGCCATTTCAATTCCACAATAACTGCTAACCACCACAAATTATTTGCTTTTGCACCGTGTTCATACATGCCAAGTTACTCTTTGCTCCAAATTTATGTGCATGCATTAACCTTATAAGTACTTTAAAATCGGGATCTAGGAAAAAAATTCCGAGTACTTTTCAATTTTCTTTACATCTATATTTTCAATGGCTCTTCAATGGCTAAGCCTGGTAGGTGTAATATGGTTGCAATCCATAAATGGAACAAACTCAAATTTTCCTGCTTATTCGTCCGAGCTGAAGCGTATGCTCTCTATAACACAGCCACAGCTCAATAATCTGGCGGCAGCCTCCGATGCCGGGAAACTTTTTGGCTGGATATCTGGCACAGCAGCAGCGCATTTGCCTCTTTGGATAGTGCTCCTAATTGGAGCAATTCTTGGCCTAATTGGTTACGGAATACAGTATCTTTTTCTCATAAATCAAATCTCATCTCTTTCTTACTGGCATGTTTTTCTGCTAACTGTTTTAGCAGGGAACAGCATTTGTTGGATCAACACAGTTTCTTACCTAGTTTCGATAAAAAATTTCCCCCTTGATCGACAGATTGCTACAGGTTTATCCACTAGTTATATAGGTTTTAGTGCAAAAATTTATACTGACATAGTGGATGCTGTAGCTTCAAACTCACCTTCAGAAAGAGCCAAATTGTTTCTTCTTTTAAATTCTGTTGTTCCCTTTGGAGTTTGTATTCTAGCAGCACCACTGGCTAGAGATGTTCATGTTGGAAAATCAAGAAAATTAGCAGGAGGGTTCATTTTTATGTTTGTGATAACAGTATTTACAGGAATTTATGCTGTGATCACCAGTTTAGGCCAGAACATTTTAAGATTCTTACATCCCTCGACAATTGTTATTGGCGTGGCTGTGTTCTTAATCCTGCCCCTTGTCGTTCCTTTGTCTGAAAAGGTTAGAGAAACCCTGCAATACAAATGTCTGATAAGAGTACACGATGAAGGTGCTTCTGCTACATCGACGGAAAATGGGGAGAACTTGGAAGAAGGAGAGAGTAATTTAAGCAAGTTTTGTGAAGAAAGTGTAGAGGAAATAGGAGTGAAGTTGATGCTAAGGAGAGTGGAATTTTGGTTATATTTCTTTGCTTATTTATTTGGCGCAACGGTTGGTTTAGTTTATCTAAATAATCTGGGACAAATTGCCGAGTCCCGGGGATGTTCTGGGACGTTGGCTCTTGTCTCCTTGTCTTCAGCATTCAGCTTCTTCGGCCGGCTCATTCCATCATTTCATGATTACTTTTTCAAAAAGTAAGTAATTCACCATCCACCTACTTCGACTATTTATGTTATGCCTACTCTTCTATACATCATTCCGACGTCTAGCTCAAATTCATTGTTTCTAACAAGCACCCATTTTCATAAACAGCGAGGGTACAACAAGAACTATGTTAATTGATTGACCTGGTTTTTTTGTGGTTTTAATGCAAAACTTTGAGTAGTTCTATGTTAGTTGATGAATTTATGGAGCCAATTTATTATTTATGTGTACAGCATCTCCCTCTTTCAAGTTTCATGGTCAATGCAAGCACGACGCTTATTCTACGACAGATTTTATTATTGGACGTCACTAAACGTGCTTTTTTATTGTCGATATTTTTGCAGGAGCAAGTATATGATATCTAGACCAGCAGCCATGACATGCATGATAATACCAATGTGTGGAGCTATGTTTTTACTCGTTAACAAGCAGGACATTTGGCTCTACATTAGTACAGCCATTATAGGCATTTGTACTGGAGCAATTACCACAATTTCTGTCTCCACAACCACCCAACTATTTGGAACCAAAAATTTTGGAGTAAATCACAACATTTTGGTCTCCAATATACCAATAGGATCTTTCCTTTTTGGTGACCTTGCAGCCCTGCTTTACAATGGAGAGAAGCTTTCAGGTGAAGACAATTGCATTGGTCAGAATTGCTATCAAACCACTTTCATTGTCTGGGGATTTTTGTGTTTTCTAGGAGCTTTTCTGGGGTTTATCCTTCATTTTCGAACGAGAAAAGTTGTAATCACATAGATTATAATGAATCAGTATAGTATAAAGACGTATTCGGTACAATATCGCGGTCCAAGGAAAGACGAGAGCTGCACACCATACTGAAAAACACGATTGATCTTTCATGGGGCCGGATAGAAATACATTTAATGTAGTTTAATGAGTGTAAACGTTAAGTGAATTGATGCAATGCATGACTAGTATATGACACATTTGTTAATTTGTGTACAAAATAATTAAAGTATTGAAAGACTTTGGAGAGGGGGCAATGGCCAATTTTTTGGGTTTGATGTGACATTTTTGTTGAGATATTAAGTGAGCAATGTTCAAAATTTTGACTTCTGAGTTTTTTTACCAGATCCAATATCATCTTTAACTAGACATTTATTCGATCCCACAATTTTATCTGCTTTTTACCGCACACTATTTGAGACTCACTGTTTAGAAGCACTTATATACTTGGCTAAGCAAGCACTAAGTCATCTATCCACGCTCCAATACAATCCCAAAGGAGGAAAAAGGTTGTTATTAAGGTACATAGCCCTTGCTCGGTTTCACTAGAAGGTTTATTAAAAAAAAAAATTGGGCAAAAAAAGGAAATTTTTTTTTTTTTTAAAAAAGAAAACCCATTATAGATCAACACAAGGCTCTATAATAAAAATAGCAATGAATTACGCGATTGATATGCAGCATTTATTATATCAGTTGGTTCTTTGGTAGCAGTTGAATTTATGGCACCAACTTCGGCAGCTTACGATGCCCAAGCATGGCAACCTGGACGTGCTATGGCTGCCTACGTAAAGAGGCCCATGATAATATACATCGATTCTCAAATAATCCCCATCGCTTGCGTTTCTAATGTAGCACAAGATTCTCGATTTATGTGAAAAATGCACATATCAATAATTATTAAAATTTTACGTGACAACTCCTCGACTACACTTTAAAGTAGAAACGTCGGCGGTGTGCCTTGGCATGTCAATTCGAAGTGAAGGATCCTCTATTTTTTTAAAATTTTTCTTTGGATTATTACATTCACTCCCTGGTTATATCACATTTTAATTAAAATAAAGTTTGTCAACCTTTGTTCATTGTCATATTCATTTTCAACTTTTTTTTGGTGTTGTCTTATTGTTAACTTTCAATTAATTTTACATTCATTAGCGCACTTTGAAATGTTACAAATGTTGAACTTCATATTTTTTGTTCTTTTCTTATTTAGAAATATATATGCAAATAAGTCTTTTTGAGCCCTCTTAACTAAATTTTTGGACGAAAATTATTATCAAAGAAAAGACATAATAATTAATTAAAGATTGATGGTAAGAATACAACAACAAAGTTGGAGATAAAAATTGCGACAATGAGTAAAGGTTAGTGATCTTTCATTATAATGAAAATGTGGAGAAGTTGAAATCTTTTTTGGTGTAAATATAATTACACCTTTTTCCTTTCTTTCTCTTTTCTTTTTAAGGGCGACTATATTCGCATTACAATTTTTGTAATGTGCGTCATATATTAATTGCCATAAAGGTCCTCATGCTCTTATATGTACTTATCTCTTCAATTTTTATCATTGTATTATTATTTCTAATCTATTATAAATTAACACATCGTATCACTGGTGACGATTTTGATCAAAATCCGTTATAAGGCATAAGAAAAGGCTCATATTTTTTTAAATAAGAGTAAAAGAAAAGATAAAAAAGTTTGAAAGATACTTGTTATTTTTTTTTTCAAAGCCCGTTATTAGAATATTTTCAAAGAATCGCCATCAGGATTAAGATGTGCTAATTATAAAATTTTGTGTTGCAAATATAACAAATCATTTTCTTTTCCTTAATTTTTTTATCTGTAAGTGCAATATATTTATATATTAATGTTTCTTAAGTAGGCATAAGAAAAGGCTCATATTTTTTTAAATAAGAGTAAAAGAAAAGATAAAAAAGTTTGAAAGATACTTGTTATTTTTTTTTCAAAGCACGTTATTAGAATATTTTCAAAGAATCATCATCAGAATTAAAATGTGCTAATTATAAAATTTTGTGTTGCAAATATAACAAATCATTTTCTTTTCCTTAATTTTTATCTGTAAGTGCAATATATTTATATATTAATGTTTCTTAAGGGCGCCATAATTTAGTTACAATAAATGTCATCTATTTTTGCTCATTTTTTGTACTTACGTTTTCAACCTATTAAGATTAACAATCTTGTCACATATGATAGTTTTCGTCCAAGAAATCTAGGGGGCTTAAAAAGATCATTATATTTAATATATTTAAAAAAAAAAAAAAAAAAAAAAAAAAAAAAAAGCAAATACAAAAGTTTGAAAAGATATTTACAATTTATTTTAAAGTATATTAACAAAATATTTTGTCAGAAATCACTATTAGGTAATTAAAAAGTTAATGATAAAATACGAGTTAAATAAGGTAAGGGCATAAATTCAAAAATGAACAAATGTTGAAAATCTTTATGGCAATTACAAATGTCATTTTATTTTTAAACGCCGTGATGTGAATATAATTATCATCTTTCAATATATTAACAAAAATGACGTATTTATTTATTTACCCTACAAAATTCTGAACAAGTACACTTGATGTGACTAACAAATTCTTTAACGATTACCATCCACTAGCATAAAAGGCATTATTCCTTCACAAGATGGGAAAATCAAGTTGCTTAAGGGGGACGAAGCTAGAAGAGATTGGAAATTATAGATGATAAAATTGAAAATGATATGTGACTGTATAACCATCGAGCTTTTAAATCAAATGATTTATAATATTGAAATAATAAAGATTATAAACGTAGCCCTCGTTTGGCCCCAATTCTCTTTCTCATATTCTCAATCACACAATTTTCTATAAAATAATATTATATATAAATCAAAAAGTTTTCATTCCTTTTCAACTACATACTTTTCAGAAAACATACTATTTCGATCATTAACATTTGGAAAGAATGGAAGCGAGACAAGGACTTAATTTTTTTTATTATTAATTTAATAAAATTGTGCACGCGTCAAATCGAGAAGAAATGTCATTACAGCCGACCCACTACTGGGGTGGAAAATGGCATGATTATTGCTATGGAGAAGTATTTCTACAATTTACTATACAAGAATCTTGATTTGGAGTCGAAGGCATAATTGCATTCTCACACTCTGAAAAAGTTCAGCTGGTGGAGTTTTCAAAAAAATGGGCAAGAATTCTCTCTGAAGTACACGAGAGGGCCCACATACTTTGTGGGTAGCACTAGTAGGAGTTAATTTAACAAGTAGTCACTGAAGTTCAACTAAGGTTTCAAATCGACTGTTATAGTATTTTCGTGACCTATTTCGTCACTAAAGTTAAATAACATACGATAACAAGTCAGTTGGCCCTATATTGAATTAAACCATGTCGTAAAATTACAGATTTTTAAAATAAAATGAAAATTTTAAGAGGAAACCTCACCACCTTAGTGACCAATTTAAATATTTGCTTGAACTTGAGGGGTTATTGGTGATATTACCCACCAGTGGAGATGTTATGATTTTTGGCAGCTGCTTTTGTTGGATTCAGAGATTTGGTGGAGGTCGGTGTTTATTAATGGCCCCGTTGGGTCGGCTATTGTTGGCTATAATAGAGACGGGGGAAGTCAAAATAATAAAGCGGACCACATTATTGTAAAAACGAGAATGAAAAATATAATGGTTATGGATTTCACACAATAGATAAAAGTTAAATATGATGATTTGATGTAATGGATAACGGTCATATTTTTCATTTTAATAAGGAAATAATGGAGTTCAAATCGGGCCAAAATTAATAGTGTTGTTTATATTTTAATCACACATATGATGTTCATGGATGTGAATATGGTGCCATCCCGAACCTGCCTCGACTATTTATTTTATTTTGTTTTTGTAGTTAATAATTGATAAAAATTAAAATTTAAAATAAATAAGAGTCCGTTTAATTGTAAAGATGGAATTGAACTGCCTATAACGAATTCCAGGAAATTGAATTGTTTAGAGTTATTTTCCTGAGAATTTTAATTTTTTTTATGTTAAATTGGTATTATTTTTCACATGAAAAAAGTTGAAATAAAAGTATTTTTTGATATTCGTTTGACTTTATTTTACATGAAATTTATCGATTAAATGGATGAAATTTACTGATATTGGAAATTAAATTTGTTTCCATTCCAAAATAAAAAAATATTCAAGAAATTCAGCTATCTTTAGGTGTTCGTTTAGTTATGTTTTACATGAAAATTGTCAATTAAAGAAAAATATTTTTTTACAATAATTTTTAAAATTTATTTTCATTACAAAAAAAAATAAAATAAAAAAGACGAAAAAAATAAAAAATTACTACAGCACCCGAGAAAACCAATTCATCGTATAGTGGGAATTGGTTTTCCATGAAAACATGGAAAATCATGCTTTCCAAGACAATCAAGAATTGAAATTTCATGGAAATAATTGTGCTACCAAACAAAAAAAAAAATGGAAAAGATGGAATTAGAATTACATTTTTATGTAATTTCACGCTATTCCTAAGTGAATGAAACAATAAGATACTTTGCTTCTCGTCCCATTCATTTCCGTCTTTACGCAGAAAAATCTTAAGAAATGAGTAGCTGTAGGGCCACCAAATTTATTGGCTACCTATAAAGCAGAGGCTGAAAATGTGACATTAATGCAGTTGCTGGCGGGTACCAAAGAAATGAGTTTGAATTGAATGATGTCAAGTTGAGGTTCATCTGACATCATCATCTTACTACCAAAGAATTGAGTTTTAATTGAATGATGTCAAGTTGAGGTTCATCTGACATCATCATCTTACTACCAAAGCCCGTGTTTGGCCTCATTTCTTGAAATGAAAATGGTAAAATAGTATTTTTTTTTTTTTTTTAAAAATGAGCGATTGAAAAAGAATGAAAAATCTTTGATTTACGTATAACATTATTTTATGAAAGATTGTATGGTTAAAAATAGGAGAGAGAGAAATGAAATGTAATATAATCGATGACAAAGTTTCAAAAGTGCTTGATGTACAGCATGGTGTAGTCCCCTTACAATAAGAGGCTTATCAATTTTTATTTTTTTAAAATTTACGATGAACCCTCCCCCCTCCCATATATGAGAGAGCTGTACACCATGCTGTACCACCAGCCTAATTCAAGTTTCGGACAGATTTACAATGGAATGAATTAATGCAGCGTGCCAACACTTTAGCCTCCATCTGTCAAGTTTTTATATCATCAATAATAACCATGTTACATGTACATCTTTGTTGACACTCTTTCACATGAATCCATCAAAGTTATCGATTTTGAATCTATCGTTATCGATTTTGTATCTATCTAAGACATCACTGCAAAAATTTCATGGAAAATGTACATATAACATTATTCCATTAATAAAGAGAAATAATACGAGCATTTTAAAATTTATTTTTATTGTGTTACACAGTTTCAAGAAGGATCAAACTCATGACTTGGGGATAAAATCTTTTAATTTTCGAAGTGTTTTAGAAATAGTGTAGATTACCAAACTACTTTCACATCGAAAAGGTTTTAATTTTTAGTTTCGAATGTCAATCCTTTTGTTGTATTTTTTTCCCCGAAAAAGAAAAAGGAAAGGTTACAATCAGACCATAATCTCACGAAATTAAATAATTCATTAATCTTAGAGCAATAAATAATCCATGCCAATTTTAAACACTAATTGGCGGCCACAGCAGAACTTATGGCTTATGCTTAAGAAGCACCGGAAGGCTCAGTAGAACTCCAAAACGGGCCTCTAATGAGCTGATACTGACAATTTATTTTTCTCTAAGTTTCTTAATTCTTATTACCAGAAGAGGACCTAAAGAATTCTGTATAGGCTTTGATTGGGTTTCCCTTTTGGTTGATAAATTATAAGTTGGCAGAAATAAGCGGTAAATAAGTGTGTAATATTAACGAGTCCCACAAAACATCTTAGGTAATTAGATCACATTTGTGGGCACAAACTTATTATCTGATGCACCAAACCTGCCAGTATGACAAGATAAATGACAACAATGTGGAAATAATGCATATAATAATTTTAAAAAAAAAAAAAAAAAAAGCGGATCGAAACAAAGAAAAGGATGTGAATTTCTGCTCGATTCTGTGATTTTTAACGTTTGAGCTATAACAGATGATGGCAGATCAACTAGTGTCCGAATCAATAAAACATTCACACGTTCAGAACTTCATTACGGAAGAGTGAGACTTGGAGCCTTTCTGATTTTCGGAAGCTTGATGAAACCCCAGAACTTCCTGGACAACGTTACAAAAAATCACTGAAAAGAATCACCTCCTGTATAAAGAATGTAATTAAAGAACAATACAGTTTAAAGTACCATCTCTATCAAATGAAATACAGCAGTTTCATACTATGACCCTCCAGGAAAAGAGAAGGTTTACCCAGTTTCTAACTGGTGCTGCTCCTTATGATGCCACTTCAATTCTCCTACCTTGGTGCTTCCAACTAATGTACTTCTCTATCAACATTTAGTTAGAAGCTTAGATATTATTGTAACAAGTCATTAGATAGATCAAAATTTTGGAACTCTTGAGAAATAAAACCAGTGTCGTGCCAGGGAAGAATTTGAAAGAAGATACATCTACTACTTTACCAATTCAAGAAATATTGAACAAGTTACCTCACGACAATTATGCTGCCACCTTTTTTCGACTCTCTAGCTCTTCTTTCCACAACTTCCAACCAATCCGAACTTCTTCCAATTGGGATTCCGGAATGTTTGTGTTAGCATCCAATATTTCTACCCAGTCCTTCCAAGGAGACTTTAAAGGGTCTAAAAACTTGGACAACTGAGGC